CTGCAGGAATGCTGTGTTCCTCCTCCACAACACCCACAGTAAATTGAGAACCACTTAATTGTAAGGCTAGATCAATATAAGATTCCAAAGTCCAGTGAGGTTCGTGCAATGGCATGATCAAACTAAGTGGCTCAGACAGCCCTCCTCAAAAAAAGATCATGAGGCATACCTCGTCCATGTTAGTCAAATGAGCCAGCTCAACAAAGTCCATTACATAGTCCTCGATGGGCCGATCTCCTTGATTGAGACACATAATTTGTGCTGCTGGATTCATCTTTGCTGGTCTGGATGCACTCATAAAGCTGCTGGATCCGTGTGTGGCTGATTATTCTGTAACGGGGAAGGCGTGACGACAGAGTTGAGGATCCATCTACAACTTTATTTAGAGCGTAGTCGGACAGGCAGGGTCAAAACACCAGCAAAACAGTACATCCAAGGTAATCCAAAAGAGTAATCCACAGAACAGGCAGTAAATGATCACAAACCAGGTAAACAGTCCAAGAACAAAATACGAAGGCAAGGCAAGGCAAGACAAGGCAGAAACTAGACAACATAACAGGCTAACAATAATCAATCGTGTGTGTGGATGAGTGCAACCTTTATAGTGTCACTGATAGTAAACAGGTGTGGTGTGATAATGAGTTCCTAGGCAGGGGTTATGGGAAATGGAGTCCGGAGAAAACAAAGATGAGACCCACTATCGTGACATTAGCATTATAGAAGTGTAAAAAAATGTTTGTAGCTTGTTGATGGGGCTGTAAAAGATGTCAACATACTTTTGAGCTGTGAAAATAAAGCCTGGAGTCTTCTAAAACAGCTGGACAGCTTTCTTCTGAGGTAGATAACTAGTTGCTATCATTGTCACATTCTCACATAAGTACAATCATAAGATTGACATGCTTTCTCATTTTTTTCAATTGCAGCTATAAGACAAGTCTGGAGGAACTTGTCAAAAGAAAACAAGAAAACATTCCTAAATCTCTCACTGCTAATCTGGTTAATATTTACCAGTTTAGGTGAATTTGATTAATGACAAATCTGTTTTCTGCCTTACTGCAGACATTCTAAAAAGTGTACATTTTTTATTGTTTAAAAATACTGTTACGATATAATGTAAATATTTATTTTAAAATGATTATAAATTACACTATAGTATAATGCATCATGTTATATACTTGAATTTAAAATCATTCAAATACAATTTAATTTTATATAAACTAGAGCTCTCTGTTAACTGTTAACATGTTAACAAGTCTACTGTCTTAATTACAATAAAATTGTACCAACCATTATTTCTCTATATCTTCAGGGATTATGTACAAAAACCAGAACATCCTTTCTCAGAGGACACTAGAACAGCTTGCCTGTCCACATTAGCAGAACACAGAACTGAAGGTAAAGAACAAAAATCATGTACAGTTACTGTACTTATTTACCTCGAGATACTGCCCCAATCAACATTTTCCATCTCATGTTTTATGTTAGATGGCCAATGAGGAAGTGTTTAGTATAGTTTATCCAGATATCACAATTTAGAAATCAGCATTTGATACTACAGCAATTTAACAAACTTGGATTTAGCCAAGTAGTTCCTGCAACAACATCCTTGTTGGTCCTGGAACAGCATTTAAATCAATGGTTATGATTAAATGTTTGCTTGAAAGGTCTGACATGTTTTGGCTCAACCAGTGATGGTCAATGGAATTATACTTTTTTAAACCTTTAACTTAAAATTTCTCTCAGATTTTTAGAGGTAGGTTATGGAAAGGCCATAAAGAATGGCTTGGCTTTTGATTTTATTATAGGAATGTTTTTCCAGGAACAACACAGATCTCCTCACTTAGATACATCACATAATACGCATTACTTTCATGTTTGTGATGCTTCTTTTAATATTAACTTCTTAAATTAAATCGTACATTTTGGAAATAACCAAATTGTTTATCTGCACAGCCGCTGTACCGTAAGCTGTGGACTCAAATTTGGTTCACTGGACATTGTGAGCTTGTGGAGGAGCTGGTGAAGGCGCTTGAGAATAAAATAGACAATTTCAAAGAACTAAAGTCTGTCTGCAGAGAGATCAGAACCACTTTTGCAGCGAATGTCATTTCTGACAGTCTTATAACGTGATGTTAACAGACATGTAATCTCATTTTGGTCTCTATAATCTGGTGTGTGTTTTATTGTTTTAAGATACAATTATAGATATATGAAGAGTGTGTGTCTGTGTTTATAGGAGCTACTGGCTGAGCTGCATGTAGAAGTAATGCTTGAATATGTGAGGCGAATGATGAAGAGAAAACTAAAACTGAAAAACAAAGAGCAGCAAGAAGCAGCTGCTGAGTTCATCTGCCACAACAGCAATAAAATCTGCTCCGAGTTTGCCAAAGTGGTGAGATCACATCCAGACCCACACAACACATGTATGCATAAACATACACTCACATGCGGCCAAAATATTCACAGTGGGGTGTTCATGCACATTGTAAATTGATAATGGAGTAAATATACAAATGTCCATGACATTCTAATTTATTGAGATGCACCTGTATATATACATATATATATATATATATATACTGTATATACAGTATATAACATTGCAGTGCATGAGTACCGTCAAAATGAGAGTCCAAACAGTTGATAAAACATCACAATAAATCACAAGTAATCCACTTTACTCCAGACATTTTTAATGTCTCAAATAAGAGTCCTCTATCCATGATATTGCTGTCTCGTCTGAATCAGGGGAGAAATATGCACGGATCAAACACCATTTACAAGTGAAAACAGTCCTAAACTGTTCTAAACAAATATGTCAGTGGACTTTGATGTGAGATGATGACAAGGGATGGACATTTTCACTGTAGGAAGCATTATTATGAATTTTAGACTCATATTTTGATCAGAAGCAATGATTTTAAATTACATTCACTGCAGAGGATCCATTGGTGTTTTCAGGAAATTTAAATTTTTGGTTGAAATATTCCCTTGATCAATGTTTTATCTATATTTAGTTCTTTGAATGAAGTTTTGATGTAAATATGTTTGTGTTTCATGTGTTTTTATCTCAGTTGTTCACATTGGGAATCTTAATAATTAAAGCCCTAGAGGCTTAAGAGTGTTGTAGGGTTAATTAGTTAAAATGGTTTGAAAAATGTAAAACATTTATGTGGCTGACATGCTGACAGTAACGTACAGTAGTGTGGTACTATTATTTTTAAACACAATACAGTGTTCCATTTGAAAAATGTAAAACATTTATGTGGCTGACATGCTGACAGTAACGTACAGTAGTGTGGTACTATTATTTTTAAACACAATATGACAATTAGTCAAAGACAAAATATGGCCATATTTACTGTATTCTCTTTACATTGTTCTCTTTGTTTGAAACATCATAATGAATTGTGGGAAAGCAGAGGGAAATTATGATGTCACTATAAAACTATTTGTAAATAGTTTAGAAATTAGATTTCTAAATCAGGTACCATTCTCTTCTCTAGGGATCCAGAGAGGAATGGCTCTGTCAAATACTGCCCAAATTATCAGAGATTCTGAGACTGCAGGATCCTGGGAGTTTGCAACTTGAGATTGTTACTCTGGCAAGAGACTATCCTGACATAAGGTAAGTCTGTTAGATAGGAGCTGGCAAGATGCAGTCATTTTACCTTAGAGAAAGAAACTATAGCAAAATATCTTATTTTCCCTCTCGTTCGTTCTTTATTAAAATATCTACTTACAACATGCAGTTTCAGTACAGATGCCATTAGCCAAATGAAAGATGAGTTTAGAATTTGATGATCAGTCTTACAGTACAGTGTGACTCTGCTTTCATCAATATTCTTTGTTGTCATTCTTCACTAGTGAGCAGCATGTTCTTGCTCTCCTAAACCTGAAGACCAACCTTTCAAGCTCAGATCTGCACAGGATCAAAGGGTGTCTGAGTGAAAACAGAGGCACACTGGACACACTGGAGTCCTCTACTTCCTTCTTCTCTAAAGTACTCATCAAACGGAAAATAATCTAAATGCCCTGTTACATCTATAGCTAATGCTAAACAACTGTGATTCATACTGTGATACATAATCAGTGTTATGTAATATTTATTATGAAAAAACTGTGATATTATTCTGTTCTTCTCAACTGATTTCACACTGTTCTCCAAAAGTCCTCTACTTCCTTCTTCTCTAAAGTATTTGTCAAATGGAAAATCATCTGAATGCCGTTACATCTATAGCTAATGTTAAATACCTGTGAAGCATACTGTGATACAAAATCTGTATTATCCATTCATCCATCCATTTTCCATACCCTCTGCAGGGTCGTGGGTGGCTGAAGTCTGAACGGATGGCCAGTATAATCAGTATTATTTTAAGTAATATTTATTATTATGAAAACTCATATCAGTCTGTTACAAGTCATAATATTCTGTTACAGTTTTTCTTCAACTGATTTTACAGTATTCTTCAAAATTAAGGTCAAGAACAATGTGTTTTGAAATTTGTATTTGATCAAAGAAATTTTTTAATATGGCGGAACATTACACGTTTTTTTTTATAGCACTGAATTTGTGTAAAACCAGTTGAGAAAACCTATGAAATGCATAAATCTAAATGGTAAAACCAAATGTAAACAAAAAATGTGTATATTTATAATGTAAAGTGCTTCATTTGAATGCACGTTCAAAACTCTCAAAAATGATTTAAACATTCTGATATTGTCAGACTTTTGTACCTGTTTTGCCCCGTAGTCCTTCCTGTGTTTCCTTATTTGGTCAAGTTCCGGTTCTCGTTTAGTTTGATTATGTTCCATTGATGTCACCTGTATTCCCCAATTATCCCTTGTATTTAAGTTTTAGCCTGTGCCATTCTCCTTTGTCCGATATTGAATGTTCGTCTTGTGCTACATGTGTTCCTGGCAGCCCTGTGTATCTCCTGTTGGAAGTAGTGATGCAAAGTCCGATTCATTTCCGCGAACCGGTTCTTTTCGGACAGATCGGCTAATTGAACCAGTTCAAAAAGCCGATTCATCGGTTCCTGACGTCATCAAGCAATAACTTCTCTACGCATTTCATTTCTAACAACTCAGTGCCATGTTGTATCAATGAAAAATTCAAATGAGTCATTTGTGTCAACACATATTGAAACATTCAAAAATAAAGTTATTTGTGTGAAAGCATATTGCTGATTATTGCCATATAATTCACATAAGTTAATGGTGTTTGTGGTCACAGTTTCATTTGCGGATCCTCAGATAAGACTGACCAATATTGACTAGCCTACAACTTGGATAAGATTCCTAAAAGTGTCACACCTACAGCACACATTACAGACATTGATGCACAAATGCGGATATGTTCTACATGTCTACAGTATAAAGAATGAATAAACTAGTCTTATAAACTCCTTGATTTCACTTAAGCAACTTTAAATATAATATGTATGCACAAACTATTGTAAAATTAATTTACATCACTTGACAGAAAGGTTTTTGCAGGTTTTAATAAAATGTAATAACTAATAATAATAATAATAATAAGCATATTTACAGTACGCGCCTCAGGCAGGTTGCACAGTACCTCAGGCAAGTTGCACAGTATCGTCAACTCAACTCATCAGAATCTTCGGTAATCCTCGGCAAACTTCGCCACGGCTCATTCCGTTCTTGTAGAGTCCTCGGTAATCCTCGGCAAACTTCGACAGTTGGTTGAACCGGCTCATTCGGTTCTTTTTGAGTTGGACGTGCTACTTCGGCTGTGCGTCCTGCGTCATCAACCCGGAACTAAAGTTCAATTCAGTTTGATTTGTGAACCGGCTCAACCGGTTACTTCCTGAGAACCGGCTCAAAAGAACGATTCGTTCAAGAACCTAACATCACTAGTTGGAAGGATTAAAGACTGTGTTTACTGTGAAATCTCCTGCATCTCCTCGTTCCACGCTCCTCGTTGTTCTACAAGCATGACAGAATATCGGACCAACAACAGTTTAAATTGCGTGTTTCCCCTCCGTTTTGTTTCTGTTTTTCGCTGTGTTTTTTTTCCCTCTCATTGTGTGCCCTAATGAATCCCCTCCTTCGCCCCGATTTCATCCTCCTCCTGCTGGAGCAGTGGGAGCACTCGCTCGAGGGTCATACCAGACTGTTTCTGGCGATTGCTCATCTCACCACCTACCCGGATGATGCCAGCCTCAACCCCGCGTGCAGAACGCCATCGTCTGAAGCTGGCCCTCGAGCGAAATTCGCCGCATTTGTGGAGTGGACACTCCAGACCCAGAGCTCAGCCCACCATTTTCCCGCTGTGCGGAGCTAACGCCAGAGCCCACCGATGACGGAGAGCCCATTCCCGCAGCCCTGGTGGCTGATTTGCCTCGCTGCCCTGT